GTTTGCAATCCGCCCAGCCAATCAGGAAAGTACCACCTCTCTAGCAGGGACTGAACAGGGGGGAACAGTTCTCATGAACTAAGTTCTCTTTTTGGTGTGAAGGCAAAATCCCAGGAACTATCGGAACCAAACGGAAAAAGTACTCCGGTGTGAAAGCGCCTTTAAAAAATCCCTGAGAGTTTAACCAGTGACTCAAATATCACAGCGTCAGAGACTTGTATCTTCTTAGTCAGAGTACAAGCTCTCACTTTGGCGAAACCTATGTCACAGGTTTTAGGATTTCTCAGTCAACATTTTGTCTGAATTCTGACTTTTTCTCAAAATCTCAGAATTCAGTTTTTTTTTCAAAATCCCCAAACTCTGACTTTTTTTTAAAAATGTTGACATTTTTTTCAAAATCTCAAAATCTCAGACTTTTTTCACAAATCAAAAAATTCAGATTTATAAAATTAATGTTGTCGTCTTGTATTTCTCTCAAATGTCTGAGCGTGCAATCATACTGAACATCTGCTAACTAGAATATGGGAAAAGGTATTTGATGTTAAACCAAAGTATCGGACAAAGTGGCACCAATAACACGGCTGACAATTTATCATAAAGTTGAAAATGTGACATGAAGCGAACCATGTATGCACTACGGCAAGAAAGATCTAATGAGGCAAACTAAATTAAATACTTTGAATGGTATCTCCTCACCAGAGAGCGCTTCTTCTCTTCTCAGTCGGTGTCCTTCTTCAGGTATTTCTTCATGATGGAAGCCACGTCTCCGGCCTCGCTGCCCTCGGCCTCCAGCCTCTCTCCCTGCGGACCATCGAGCCTCCGTCTTCTTCCTCCTCCGTCCTGAGAACTCCCCGCTGACCCCCCCGATGACGAGGAGTCCGTTTCAGATCCCTTCATGCTCCGGCTGGAGGGAGGCAGCTCTCCGAAGTGAACGCTCAGAGCCCTCCGTCCTCCTCGCTCAGATCCCGTCAGGCTGCTGGTGGACTTCGCTCTCCGGATGGCGGGCAGAATATCTAACGCCGCGTCTTCCCGACCCTCCATTAGCCTCCGGTTCTGGAACACCATCGGTTCTGAACCCAGGGATGCTTCCCCCCCATCTTCGGTGGAAAGACTCCCCAGCATGCACCTCCTCGGGGGTTGAGGGGAGCGCTGCTGCATGGAGGTGGCTCGGGGTCGCTGTGGTTGATCTGGATCTTCTTCTGGGATGCAAAGAGAGGGAGTTTGATGGCGGGAGGCGAGGTTTGACCCCAGAGAGGAGAGATGAGGCAGCGACGGGACGCCTGAGAGGGAATCACTGCTGGAGTTGTAGCGAGAGAGTTTAGCTCCAGGTGTTTGAGCGTCGCTGATGGAGCGAGCGCTGATGGAGCGAGGCATTATCGGGGACGGGGGTTTGAGGATGCTGGATCGGGGCTCCTGGAGGTCACCGGGGCCGAGGGAAAGGGCGGAGGCTCGGCGTCTGAGGGTGGAGGCGGCGGTCGTTTGATAAACGGGAAGAGAGACGGCGCTCCCGGCTCCGTCATCTGCGTCTCCGCCGGCTCTGCGTCTCCGGAGGCCGTCAAGCAGCTCTGAGAGGGCGGAGGAGGAGGGGGCCCGACTCGGAGCCCTGCTGCCCCCCCCTCCAGCCCTGCTGCCTCCAGCCCTGCTGCCCCCCAACTCAGAGCCGTCATCATCGGGATTCTCACAAGACCTTCACAGAGAGAGAAACACTTTTTTTTCAGAACTTTGATTTTTTTCTTCAAATATGTTAAAATTCAGACGTTTTTTTTTCATAATTCAGTTTTCTTTTCTGGAAATATCTGATTTTTTTTTTAAAATTCACTTTTTTTCAAAATTCTTAATTTTTCGGAATTCTGACTTTTTAAAATCTAAAAATGCTGACTTTCACAATGTAGCAATTCTGACTTTTTTTTCTTCTCAAAATTCGGAATTCTTTCTAAATCTCAAAATGTTGTCTTTTTTCAAAATTATGCATCTTTTCAAAATTATGCATTTTTTTCCAAACTATGACTTTTTTTCAAAATCTCAAAATTATGACTTTTTTGGGAATTCTGACTTTGGTGTGCACAAATACAGCAAATGATATCAAATGAATCGTACAGATAATAATAATATTTTAACCGATTGTTTTCTTGCTGCATCTCTACAACCCTTAATAAATTAAAAATGAACAAGCTTACCTGAAACTATAGGTGCTCATGGTGTCGGCCAAAGAATGGCGCCCCCCCTGGCTGCTGATGGTACTGCTGCCGTTGGGAGACCCCGCCCCACGGGACCCCCCTCTCGGAACTCCTAACCAATGACGGATCCCCTCTCCAACGTCCTCTGTCCCGACGCTAGAGACCGAGTCGCTGCAGAGAGGAATCACACTTTATCACAACGGAGAACCTGCAGAACATTTGCTTCACAACACGCATGCAGGCGCTTCCACTCTGCAGACAAACTGTCAACGACTCCTTTCAACTTCATGAACGTTAATTATAAGCTATTTGTTGTTCTATACATGTTTTATGCAACCTCTCAATTCATTTCTGGGGTTAAAAAACATTCAAATGGCCAAACTTGAGGCTTTGAAAACGTAGTTCAGCGACCAATAAGTGTTGAGGGCCATACTGCAGTTTGAGTGGATTCTGAAAAAAGTCAGAATTTAGAATTTTTCAGAAATCTCACAATTTTGACTTTTTTCTCTACATTTCAAAATTGTGACTTTTTTTTTTTATGGATTCTGACTTTTATCTCAAAAATAGTTCAACAACCAACATGTGTTGTTTTCTCTCTGTCAGAGGCCATACTGTCGTTTGAGTCGCAGTTGAATTTTGAGAAAAGTCAACATTTTCAGAATTATGACTTTTCCCCCCTCAAAATCTCAAAAATAAATTTCCCCCCAAAATTCTGACTTTTTTTATTAATGTCAAAATGTTTACTTTTTTTCCTTTCAGAATTATAACTTGTATCTCCAGATCTCAGAAATCGGACTTTTTTGTGAATTATGACTTTTTCTCAAAATCGCCAAAAATCTGACTCTTTTTGAGAATTCCGACTTTTTTCTCCAAATTTCAAAATTGTGACTTTTTTTTCCCGGATTCTGACTTCTATCTCAAAAATAGTTGAACAACCAACATGTGTTGTTTTCTTTCTGTCAGAGGCCATACTGTTGTTTGAGTCGCAGTTGAACCATCAAGTTTGTCTTCTCCTTTCCATGCTCTTGCATTATTTCCCAGCTAAAATAATAATAATAATAATAACATCTGGGAGAAGCTTTGTATTCCCATTAAGCATGTCAAAGCCACGAGGATACAACCAACCAGTTAGTAGAATAAATAATAGGTTGAAGACGCTATCGCTAATGCTAACCATCTACTCACAAATCTGAGCTGGCGACACATAGAACTGCAGACGTGCCAATACTCATGCCATCATTATAGAAATATGCTATATGATTAATATCAATGAATGCTACTTTCCTCATCACCCAGGCAACCAATGATCTCCATTAATTGACTTTTATATCAGCATAAAGACACTTATATATATTAGCATGTACGACATATATTATAGCACATTGTTATTCACATTTTTAACCATTTCTAATGCCTTTGAATTAGATTTTTTTTTTTAAAAACATTAATTTATGATGGATTTTCAAGTTATTTTTGGAGTAAAATGCTGTGGTGCAAGGACTGTGAGTAACCATGCACATAGCCGTTTTCACCAGAGTCCCTTTAAAGGATAATTACGGACATTATAGTACAATTATCGTAGTTTTGGCCTTCTTTCCATCACATTTCTTTAAGTAATTATAACATTTTGGGGTTTAATTTGATTATCAATGATAAAAATAATGGCCAAAACTACGAATAGACCAGAATTATCCTTTTTTGTAATGTAAAATTCAGCATTATCATAATGAGACGTTTAAACGATGACACTTCAAGGCCTGATGCAATGTCCAGGACACGCACGCGCGCACACACACACACACACACACACACACACACACACACACACACACACACACACACACACACACACACACACACACACACTCAGACACAGTGTGAATGTAATTGGCATTAGAGATAATATTACATTAGAGGGTCGGAGCAGAGGAAGCACAGGATGCGTCTAATTAGCATCTGTGCGTAACCGTGTTGACTTTTTGACACCAGTCTCTCTCTCTCTAGACTGCAGAGACAACAACAACACACTCAGTATAACATTTCATTTAGCTGATGGTCTCACCCAAAGCAACTTACAATAAGTGCAGTTAACGATGAGGATGCACTTTCACAACAGAAGACTCCTGCCATCAGCCTCAATCATGATAACGCCTTTTCAATTGATTCCAATGAAGAGTGAACACATGCTGTTACATGTATCCACCAAAAGAAAAAGCATTGCCTCAAGTGACTTTTGCTGCTCCGAGAGCTTTGAACTTAAATATTTCAACTTTTCAGATAAGTAGAAGTGTTGTCACCGTATACTGTAGTCTTTTTTAAATTAAACTATCATAACAAACTCTCTTATGTTTGAGCAGATGGGCCGGGCCGAAGTGTGTGACTTTTATGATCATAAGCAAATTGTCCCTCTCGCTCTATGGCTGATGTCAGATTGAGTGGTGAAACTCATTCATACAAACAGCTGATTGTAATGGTAAAAACAATGTCAAACAAAAATACAGTGGCACAAAAGGATACAGTATTGATCATAACAGCCTTAAAATTGCTGTTGATTGTGTCTAATGTGTTTTTGATTTAATTCTATTAACCGGTTGTTTGCATATTGTCTCACATTAGCCGAGAGATGTGTCACTTTTGAGGCAACATTTAAATCTGGTTGTAAATTAAATGAAGGAGAACTGATTGTGTGTGTGTGTGTATGTCTTGCCACAAAGTGTGTGATGTTTCAGAAGTGTGAGTGGCTTAAACAGTAACTACAACATAAGTCCTAAATATGTTGAAGAAAAGTCAAGAATTAAAAGGATGTCACCATATTCCTGTGGCATCCATCTTTAACAAACAATCTAAAATGGAGAAACTTTTTGGGTTTGCTCTTTGATGTGTGCTAAGACTACACACACACACACACACACACACACATACGTATAACTTCGTAATAATGTATGACTAGTAA